AATTAACCTGATTTTCATTCTACTTCTCTGTTCAGGATATGGCAGGGTTGATAAGCAAGATAAACCGTTCCTCAATTGGCCCTTTACCTTCATGCTATTCGCCATCACTGTAAGTTTTCATGTGCTGTCTGTGTATCATTCTTGCATGTATACATAATACTTATAATATTCATGGGATTTTATTATTATAGTAAATGCTCTAACTTGGTGGTTGCTGGGCATTTGATTTTATGAGACTAGGTGGTGATGGTAGACTGTGGGGTCATGCAGCATGTGTGCTTGTGTCTGGGTGTTGATTTTATTTTTCACTGGGCTAGGAGAGGGGAGGGGTTATTGTTAATTTGGAAGCAAGACTCATTCTTTTTCATGTACTTGCCTCATCACCAGGTGTTGATAATCAATACTTAACAGCATGATAAATATGTTAATTGATTGATTTTACATAAACAGGAAAACTCTTATCAAAGGTATGTTGAGAAAGAACCCCGAGCATCGGCCAAGTGTAAGCATTCTCCGACACGCTGTGTCAACTTTAAGATAAGCTGGATTTCATCTTAATAGTTTAAATTTAAACTTTGGTCAGGCATCAGAAATTTTAAAGCACCCATACCTGCAGCATTATGTTGATCAATACCGTCCATCTTTTAGTCCTCCAGCAACGTCCTCCTCAGAGAAGCCTATTACAACTGCTCGTGAATCTAGGAAGAATATGGCTGAAAGCCAGAACAGTAATAGTTCAAGTAGTGATAAAGACAGTCTTCTTTCAAGTGATAGAAACACCGCAACAATTGTGTCCAACAGTGAAAGTAAAGCCACTGACACAGATTTAATTTCCATTGATGACGATGATGACTCTGAGCAGCCTCCACCAAGCGAAGAAGAACATGGCTCTGATGTTTGCATTGTCAAGATGGACGAAAGAAGGGTGATGAAACCCTCTCTTGGTGAACAGGGATCCAATGTCGAATCTAAGCAGCCAAAAACCATTAGAAGTATAATGATGGCTTTGAAAGAAGGCAAAGCTAGAGAAAATGGTTCCCCAATGAGAGGCAATCGCATAAAGGCTGTAGGTGTGCCAACCCAAAGAAGTAACACAGAAGCTTCACCCAAAGTCCTGAAACCCAGTGCTGTTGCTCCTGGTTTGAAGTCTAATGCAGATACACCAGTGGTTGCACAAGCAAAATTAGTAGTTGATTCTGCGAAACGGATGCCAGGATCAAATCCCTTAAAACATCAGGTATATCATTAGTTTGTGTTTCCTATCCTATTTCAATATTATTTTGACATGTTTACTGATTTAGTCGCGCCAACCCACCCCCACACCCCCCACCCCCCGCGAAAACAATGATTCATCTCTACAGTTACCTGTTATTGACTCCTCTCCCAAGACAAAACCTAGACATGAAGGGGTTCCTCCTCCTGTTCCAGTGAAACATGTTGAAGATGGACTCCCTGCTAAGCCGAGGCAAAGGACTCCTCCTTCCAATACTGTGAGACGAACTTCATTTCTTGGAAGGATGAGGCAAGTTGGAATTGACTCTCCAAACACAGTGAACAACACCGTGAAACTGGCTCCAAATGTGATAAATCAGGAGCCTGAGAGTATTCCTCATCAAGTGCCCAATGGTCGCTTAACTCATGTTTATAGGGAGAGCTCACATGAGTCCAAGAAGGCTGTTGTTGGACCTTCCAAAGCAATGCAAACTGATAGCATCAATTCTGTATCGTCATCAGTGTCAATTCATGCATTTGAGCTTTGTGATGATGCCACAACTCCTTTTATTGACATGGCAGAACAGATAGACGCTGATCATGTTACAGTAACCCACTCAGATGCCTTAGAATCACATCCACGCAGCTGCTCACCTACTTCTTTGCTATCTGAGATGCCTGGAAATATGTCTGGGCAAAACCATGAATATGATCATAAAACTGTTACATGCTCGGATGAAATCTCGGGGGCTGTCTCAGATCTTCAGAATATAGTTACTGATGGGCAAGTGAGCTCAAATGCAGCCATTCAGAGTTCTGAAGAAATATTTGATTGTAAAGAGGAAATCCCTTTAAACAGGCCTTGTAGTATGGATGATACACCTCTAAGCAGGCCTACTACTATTGATATTACCCCTATTGTCAGGCCTAGTTCTATTGATAATAGCACTATAAGCAGGCCTATCGATATTACCACTATAATAAGGCCTAATACTGTCGACAATACCCCTGTAAGCAGGCCTAGTATTATTGATGATACTCCTGCAAGCAAGCCCAGTAGTAGGCCTGATATACTGCTCCAATCAAATACGTCGTCTGCATCTAATAATAGTGATGAAAAATTTAGTCTAAGGGAACTTCTATCTTCAGTAGCAGAAACTACTGCTTCTGTTCCCCCACCTATTTCTCCTAGTCAAAACAGTTTGCAGCTAGATAAAGGAACTATTTTGCAAAGTCCAGCTATTGAAAAGCCAGCTGCTGCGCAACGTTCTCCTGCTTTTGATGATGTCATACATGTTATAAGGCACAGCAGTTTCCGGGTCGGGAGTGAGCAGCCGGTACTGGAAACTGTAGAGATGGGAGTTCAAAATGTAGATGTTGGGAAGCTCATAAATGTGGTGAGGGATGAATTGGAAATGAGGAACATGACCTCCCCAGTGGCCCTGAAATCATCTAGTAGCTCTGACGCTGTTAGTTTGAAATCAAGTTTTTCGGATCATTTAAGTAACAAGGAAATGGATGTAAGAAATCCCACTTTAGTTCCAATATATAATTCTTCTGAGCAAACAAAACCAAATTCCCCCACAATGCAAGAGGAAACACCAGCAAAGGAAATCTTAGATGTTAAGTCTTTCAGGCAGAGGGCAGAGGCACTTGAAGGGCTTTTAGAACTATCAGCGGAGCTGCTGCAGCAAAATAGATTGGAAGAGCTTGCAGTTGTTCTGAAGCCTTTTGGTAAAGACAAGGTCTCCCCAAGGGAGACAGCTATCTGGTTAGCAAAGAGTCTTAAAGGAATGATGATTGAGGAATGTGGACGGAGTTCATGAAACATCATGTCTGGCAGTAAGCTTGTTTTTATTTTTAGTTAATTGATATTGTAATAGTAATTCTTAGTTTTTTGTCATGCTTTTGCATATTCAAGTTCCATTTGAATTGTTAAACGGAACAATCGCATCTGTTCTTTGTCGTCTTCTCATTTTGTAGTTCTTTTAGTGCATTTTGTTGTACATAGTGGCAATACAGATTACATGATCTTGTCTTTGAGCCAAATGTATTGATATGAAGTAGTATGTGGTGTATGTAAGTTTCAGTGAAATTGTTAATAAGGTGTCTCTACGGTTGTTCTTGGCTGATTTAAATTAGATAATCTCTGGAGAAATAAAGATAGATTGCATGGCTACAGCGGGAATTTACCTTCAGTTTAGGATGAGTTGAAGGCAGATACATTCTCTTAGCCCTTTATCCAAGAGCTTAAGCAGTTATCATTTTATAATGAATTTTGGTCTTTTTATTTTTTTTTATTTTTTTATTTTTTGTGTGTGCGCTCTTTCTCAGTTTTTGAATATATGAACAGGTTTGTAAAAAGTATATAAAAGGACCGGGGGTTCTTCTTTGATATAGTTGAAGACAGTGAATATAGCAGTTATCTTTGCATCTAAAAGTTGGGAGAGTAGATAACATGGTATTGCTTATCTTAATTATGAACAATGTTACTTGATCAAAAATTGAAATTAAGTTATCTGAAACTAGAAATGTCTATGCTTTTGCTTCTCTGTGTATATGGATTGCTCTAACTACTATTGTTTTCTTTTTTATTAACTTTTTGTTTGGGTAAACATGGGGATAGTCAAGTACAATTTCCTTCGAAGAAAAAAAAAATAGTCTAAAGTATGTACTTCATGAAATCGACAAATGACAAGTCTTTTGAGATGTTTTATGAGATAAATAAGTTCAACTTAAAGTTTTAGGTCGCTTGTGTACCATCAGTTGTTCTTAGACATGAACGTGGTCTGCAGATACTCATTTTATTAAAAGGTATAATAGCTAATTGCATGCGTATTTTTACATCCTCAAGGTGTCAATTTCTATCTTTGAATCTGAATAAATATTTTGTATGTGAAAATATTGCTTCCTGGACTCAGTAGCAGATTCGAAAACAATCATCTTATCACTTTAAATTATTATTGCGTTGATGCATATATTAGTATTGTTCCCAGGGTTATAACCATTAATTAGTTGTAGTATTCTCTGAATTGCTGAATGTTGGTATAGTTTTTGATAACTACAGTGGGCGAAAGTTCAAAAGATAGGAAGCGCCCGTCACTGAACGGTTTTGACGTGAAACAGAATATTAATTATCATTGAAATTGGGTAGTCACGAATAGTGTTATTTGGCATATTGAAAAGTTTGTTAACCAAAGATTCTTTTGCCTTTTTTGAGCATGCACGATTTAAAAGCCACAATACCAATGAAACGCGGCACTTTGCAGTTACAACAAAGCCTAAAGGGAGGCTGAAGGGAGTATGATCTGTACATGTTATGCGTTTATTTTTCCTTTCCAGTAGCTATCAATACATCTTCTTCCTGGCTTCTAAGAAATTGCTTTTAGTCAATGTATTTCCTTGATTCTATATATAAAGTATATGAGACAATTCCATTAACATCCAAACAGAATCTTCTACGCGGTTTCCAATCTCCATTTAAATTCCTCTCTCTCCCCCTCTTTTTCTACCTTCTTTTCCCATACCCCATAACAGGCAATCTGTTGTCTCTCTGACATCCAAGAAAATAACTAACAGAAGCAGTCTCTTATGTCGAATCCTAATCACAACCGGAGTTCTCTCTGCGTTCAGCGATTGATGATTCTACTGGTTTTGTTCTTTGTATTGATTATCGTTGTTATCTCCATTGCATGGTTGATTTTGCATCCCATTCGTCCAGTTTTCACTCTCAATTCACTCACCATATCAAACTTCACTCTCTTAAACTCTCGAGTAAACGCAGATTATGATTTAGAAATCTCTTTAAAGAACCCCAACAAGAAGGTGGCCTTGAGCATCGATCATTTCCATGTTTCCGTGTCATATCAAGGTAAACAAATTCTCTCTCTCTCAAAACCAATGATTGCGCTCGTGGAGTTAGACAAAACTAGTCAACGTAATTTAAGTACACAGTTACGTCCCAGAGATTCTTTGGGTTACTTGGTGGACAAAGAGTTGTTCAATTTTTTGGGCACAGATTTGAGCAAAAGATTGTTGAATTTGACAGTAGAAGTTAAGATTAGAACAAGATTCATATCTAAGATTTGGCCAACAAAGGAAACTCGCATGAAGGTTTCATGCAACAACTTAAATGTCGAATTCGAAGCTGCAAAAGAATCAGTCCCTGGAACAGGGAAGCTCAATGGTGGAGGAGAGCAATGCAGAGTTGACTTTTTTTAGCTTCATTAATTTTTGCTCATATTGAGGCACATATTCTTTTTATTCTTGTGCTCAATTTTTAAACAGTGGACTCAGTGGGTTTAGGATTTTTTTTTGTTATTCCCCTGATTTCTCTAAATTGTGGTTTAGGGTGTTGTGATATATTCAAATAAACATTGATTTTTATCTCTATTTCTTATGTAAGTAAAATAATGTGTAATTTATACGGTTGAAAAGAGAAATTAAAAGATTGTGGAAAGTCTAATCATATTCTTGTTACCATGAAATGACCCTTAAAAATGTTTTACCTTGTGAAATTGTAATAAGATTTTATATAAAATGTCACTATTGGACGGTGATTGAATGTTGGAGAATATTTCCATCCCAAAATGGAGGAATTTTCACAGAAATAGCATACTACATGAATAACATAATTAAAACCCAAAATGGAGGAATTTTCACATAGATGACTTGATTAACAAAAATAGGTTTATTATCATTAGAGGAAACTTTTATTTTAAACTAAAAGAAAAAAGACATAAGTGTCATTTGCATCAACAAGCCAACATTTTTTTTTTTATAAGAACACTTTTTTATTTGAGTTAATAACATTAATCCTCTTCAAATGTTACATAGTAACAAAAATTCCCTTGAAGTTTCCAAAATAATAATAATAAAAAAAAAATCTCCTTTTATTAATTAATTGTTAGTGAGTCATTAAAATTTATAACGTTATCACTTATAAGTTAATAAATATTATCAAATTGTCCTCTTATCGTTTATTATCGAATTTTTGTTATTTCTGAAATGTCATGAGATTAATGTTATTAACTCTTTTTATTAATGAACAAATACTTTATGACATTTATTAACAATAAATGAACACATTTTTTTTTTAAAGTGTCCTTTAATTAATAAAAAGTGTCAATTGAGTGATTAAATGAAATGTAGCCTTTTTCAACATAGAAATAATATATTGCATGAATAACTTAATTAAAAAAGTCAAACCCTGAGCAGTCAAAATGGAGATTTAGGGAGTAGACGTATCCAAGATTTGTAGTGAGTGGGTTTAAAATATTTAAGTTATAAATTTACAATAAAATATATATTAAAGTCTCAAATGTCAAATCTTATAACTTAGGCTTTTTAAAATATAGGAATTTAATTTTCCAATTTTAAACCCAATTTATTAAACTCAACAAAAACATATTCATGATCTTTTATCAATTAAGAGAGCCGAAAAAAAAAAAGAGCCCCAAATCTTATAACTTAGATTTAAAAAAAAAAAAAATACACTAATCCAATAAAATTCAACTCATAAACCAATGAAAACTTATCAAATCCAACTCTAAATATCAAGCAATTAACCAATTATCAAAATTAAACCAAATCCTCAAATCTTTATGACTTAAGGTTTCATCAATTCTTTAAACCAATTCAAAAATTAACTTAATAATTAACCAAAATTTGTCAAACCCAATTTAAAACAATAATTAATTAACCCATATCTCAACATAAATAAAATTAAATCAAAACTCACACCAAAATTTAGAAATTTAATCTTCCAATTTCAAACCCATTTATTAAACTCAACAAAAGCTCATAATTAACGATTTTTCATCAATCAAGAAAGTTAAACGGAAAAGATTTTTAAGCAAAAATAAATAAATTTGCATCATCTTCTCTTGTAACCTCCAAAAGAATAGTCTTTCTTAAGAATCTAATTAAAGAAGAAGAAAATATGAGAGAGAATGAGAGGAAATGAAAAAGAGGAAAAAAAAAAAAAAGTGTTAATTAATTCAAAATTTTGTGGGGTCAAAATTTAAATTTCATAATATATAAGGACTATTTTAATTTATTTTCAAAAGTTGAGTGGTTCAATTGAATCCACAATTGTGTATGTGGTTATGTGCCTTGGAAGTAGGTACGTATAAATATAGAATAATACTAAACATACAATATTTCTTATATAACATTGATAAAAGATGATTAGGTGAAAGTTTAATTTTAATTTAAAATCTGTTAATCATATTTTATCACGTAACATTGTATGAAAAATAGTATTACTTATAAATTTACCACGTAATATTGTATGAAAAATAATATTACTTATAAATATAATACTTTGACTTGTCACGTAAGTGTTTTTTAACCACAAACAATCACTTTTAACAAGAGAGATCTAGAAGGAAAGGAAGCAGGAAAGAAGAAGAGTAAGCTTGAACTATTTTTCTGCTTTCTAGAAAGAAATTAAATACTCCTTTTAAAAACCATGAAGATGTAGGTGGTCAAAAGATGAATTGAAACACTGAAGACTTATTCAAAGAAGATTTTAGAAAAAAGGTACTTTATTTTATTTTTTCATATCTTTTCTTCAAAATTAAATATTGATTTGAATAAATAAATACAATTTCCACATATATATGTTCTTATGCAAGTACAACCCTTTCAAACTAAAATATAATGGATTCACTTTCCTTGTATAAAAAACATTTTTTTTTTACCATTTTTCTAATGTAATCCCATTAATGAAACGAAGACAAATAAAGATGAGTTTTGTATATTTATTATCTTTTTCTACTTATTCTTTCCTTTAGTAAGTCACACATTCAATAATCCAATGTATGGAGAAAGTTACTGTTGTTCAATAATGTAATTAATATATTTGCAAATTCATGATTATTAGAAAGATGCCAACTTCAACCACACATGCCAATCAATTAATAACTTGAACTTAAGCTCAAAATAAATACATTAACTTATCAAAAAATCATAATAGTATAAAATTGTAATAACTTAATATTATTTGACTTTTGAATTATTGACCATAAATCTAAAGGGATGAGATTTTTTAATTTAAATTTATGACTTAATTTGAAACACAAATTTATGACCATCATCCATTTATTGCAATCCAACAGGTGTTAGATGGAAGTTGGAGGTTGTTATTTTCATTGTCATCTCATCAACTTTTAAACCGTTAGATTATCATGAATTTATGGTTGAAAATTTGTGTCAACAATTTAAGTCATAAATTTAAATTAAAAGATCCTGTCCCAAATTTAAAATAGGTGAATAGAGTTAAGAAAATGTTGAAGATAGTTATTTTGTACCACATCAGTATATTAACTATTAGATTACAATAGAATCAATATATTCATAACTATTAATTAATATTGTTGGGGATAAAATCTTTGTTGAAGGGATACAGAGATAAAATATTTGTTGAGGGACATTTAAAAAAAAAAGAAAAATCATCAAAGTGGATCTAAAAGGGACCTAAGAGTCCGTTTGGCACTGCTTCTACGAGTAGAGCTTAAGGGAGAAGAATTTATTAGGAAAAAGTAAAAGAGTTTTCTAGTATTAATTTATCAAAAGGGTTTTAATATATAAGAATAGATCAAGAGAAATTTAAAAGATTGAATAGAGAAATTTTTAAAATTTCAATATTTTTAATAAAGTAAAAAAGAGCTTGTGGAAAAAGCTCAAATTTTAAGCTTCTCCTATAAACCCTAAAATAGTTGTTTTATAACTTTTGAAATACAATCAAATAACCTAAAAAAAACTCAGAACTGCTTATAGGATTATAAAAGCTATTTTGTCCAGTAAAGAAGCCAATCAAACAAACTCTAAAGAGACCAAACACAGGTTTTGCTATAATGTATATGTCTGTAACAATACATCAACGTGAAACTTGTAAACCAAAAACATAAAATTTATAATATAAACGTTTACAATCATGTATTAAAGCCACCAAACACAATACTCAAGGTCAATTGCTGGGGTAATGGATGAGCTATAGCTCTACACCCAAGTTCAAACAATAAGCCAATAACCCAATATTTTAGCAATTAAATGCATGATTATACACCCTTTTCACCTGCTGTGATTAAAGTACAGATGTCATTTTCGGAACAGAATTAAACCAACAGGATTGTTGGTTGTTTGAAGGCTACAAACAGCCCAAGGCAAGGACAGGCTGTACAAAATACGGCCGCCCCTGCTAGTCTTCTAGGCCGTGGCGGCTTGGCTTCACGGAATGACATTCTATCACCGTCACACGGAATAAGAGATTCAATTGTAAAGAATTGAATTGGTTTGTCACACGGAATGACTTTATATGGGTTAATGTATATGGATTATAGAAGAAAGTGGGATCGTTTTAACAATTCTTTTAGGAAGATACGTGGTTATGTTGTAAAAAGAGGCACAAAAGCATCTAAGTTCTGCTAATGGTGAGTCAATAATACGAAATGACAAAATCATCCATCATTTATGTTTGACTGAGTGTATTAATAACAGAAACATCCTAAACTAACTCAAAACAGCTGTCATTCCATGGAAATCAGTTGTACAATTAAAATTTTTTAAATAGAAATCAAAGAGAGAGCCAATAAAAAATTGAATTAGACATGACAAGAAAAACCCAAGAAGCTAGGGCTCCATTTGGTTCCCTTTTGGGAATACTAGTATTAGTATTTCCAATAAAATTAAACAGTAAAATTGTTAAAACTCACAGTATTATTCAACTTTTTTTAAATCCCTTAAATTTGTTAATTTAATTAAATACCTCTAAATATTTTTTTTAGAAATTACAAAAACACCCCAACAATCCACATTTACCAGATTCTGATCACCACTGCTGGAAAATGGCCAGAATCTGGTAAAATGGCGCACTACCGGCTGAATCTGGCCAGTAGTGCGCCGATCTAGCCTTTTCCGTCCAGATCCACGATGGATATGGCCAGAAAAGGCCATATCGGAGCACGACTGACAAGATCCAGCCGGTCATGCGCCGATACGGCCACTCTAGCCACCCTCTGGCGGTGGTGGCCGGCTATCATATTTTTTGGGTGGGTTGGGGGTGTTTTTGTTAACTTTTAATGTTTTATTATAGGGGTGTTTAGCAAATAAATAAATATATGGGGTATTTTTATTAATTTCCAAATCCTACATTGTAATACCCGCCCAATTCAACTTTTTTTAACTTTTTTCACAAAACTTTTCTAAAAAGTGTAAAA